TAATAAACAAAATTAATAAAAAATGGTTGTTATTGCTGAGCTGCACATAGCAGAACATTCAACAAATTCCCTGTGTAGGAGTGAGTGACAATGATTATATTCTTAGTTGTGTGACCATTCTCATCTGCCTTTTTAAAAAATTATTATTAATTTTAATAAAAATGTACAGAGATCATCTGCCTTTTTTGAGTTCTCCCTAATTAACAAACTCAATATTCCCTAAATTTCCTTTCTAATCTTTAAAAATCTTTAATGTACCTAATTTTTAGGGTTAAAAGTTTCTATCGTTTGAGTTGCTGTTGTCAGTGTGATCTCATAGAAATAGTTCTTAAAGAGCATTCTTCACTAATTAAGGTAAATTATTGTTTGCTTTTAAGAAGATTTCAATGGATATTTTTGGTTTAAAGGTTATTTTAGAGCTGCATGGTCCCAGAAAGCCTGGATTCTATGGAAATTAGAATTCTGTTCTCTATTTCTTATGCACCTCATGTTTAAATTTTACCATCTCAGTACTGCTGGTAGCTAGTTACCAATTATATTACTCATCTTTGTACACCCCACATTTGAATATTATAATCTCTTTACCAGAGTGAGCTAATTAGTTACTATATTGTGCACATATTTTTAATTCATTCTAATTTTTTTTTAAACTTTTTGTTGTTGTTGTGTACCATCGAATGGGATGTGACTGGCACAGGAGGAGATTGCCCCTCCTTCTCCAGTGAAGTATCTGGTGGATTAGAACTGCATGCCTTTGGAGTATCTGGTGGATTAGAACTGTGTGCCTTTGGGACTGCAGCACAGCTTCTTAACTCTAGGCCACCAGAGCTCACTCAATTCATTCTAACCTTTGAAGTATTTATGATCAAGTCAGGAATTACATTCAAGTCCTCCTACACTGCCACCTTCAACTTTAAAGTCTAAGGGCAGAAAAAAGAGGCAACAGAGAACAGTGGGAAGAGTCTGAGGTTAGAGAGGTTTGGTTTTCACGAGTTTACACAATCAGGACAACTAAAGGTTGTGATGCTTATAGATGACGGAAAGCAGGTGCTGTATGCTCTGGGGAAAATAACCCCAGAAACCATCTGTAATGGCTTCAGAAAGGCCAAGATTGTGTGCCAACAGAATACAGATGATGAAGATGAAGACAGTAAGGGTAGTGATGATGGTGGCAATGAGTTCAGAAGCTTCAGAAGAGCATCTGCAGGTAGCTTTGAGGTAAAGCAGGGCGACAAGGAATTGTGTTGAGGGCACAGACTTGGAGGGAGACATCTAGGAAGGAGATGGATAATAACAAACGTGTAAACTAACATGACAATGAAAAAATTTCTCCTGGTGAATTGTATCTCTTGTTGATTTTGAAGACAGAGATGATCAAAATTATGTTTCAGTTTAAAATTTATGAAAACAATACAAACTATCTTGTTCTTATTGTTTTAGAAGACAGGGATAATTTCTTACTTATTTCTAGTTATTTTTTGCACCCTGTTCATAAGCCCATTCAGTTAATTGGTTTTAACTGGTTTAGGAAAATACCTACTTTAAAATGAATTTTCCATGGTATCAGTTTTATCTCAGTAATATTAAATCACTTGGACAGGAGAAAAGATTGAAGTGGCAATATGTAAAAAAATACTAGTATAATATGCTTATGAAAAACATATAGGGAGAGGAAGTTTTGCACAGTATATAACAATGCATCATGAGAAAAAAATGCATCATGTGCATGTTATTTTTATAAACAATACAGTTTTGTAAGTGTGTGTGAGCACATCGTTCGCGGGATTCCCTTCTCATCATAAACACTTCTGATCCTTACATCTGTTGTCGATTGAACAGTATCAAACTTTTGCTAATTATTCTTAGCTTAGGAGCCTCATCTTAAATGGACTAGGAATATATGTCATGAGTATAACTTTTTGATAAGTTTGAAAACTTACTAGTGTATTAAGACAGTGATCCAGTACTCACCTTCCACTTACTTTGATCTGACCCCAAATATCCACCAAAGGCTTTTTTGCCCCAAGGACAGAGCACTGGGTTGCAAATTGGAGCAAATGCTGAAACGGACTTTAGAAACACAAGGTATTTAAATACAAGTTATAGTTTATGAAATAAAATACAAACAAATATTTACAACATGCTTAAGACTCAGATGTTACTTGCAATTTGCTGAGAAACTAAGAACCTAAAGTAGTGATCCAAGCATGGCTCATTAAGACAAAAAATGTAAAACTATAAAGCCTCAGTTAAAAGAAGGTGAAAGGCTAAGCTATATATGTCAATTTTATCATAAGAATTAAGATAATTCTTTTACAAATCATGAAAACCTTTTACTTCAGAAAATCAAATACATTGCAGGTGACCCAAAGGCACATAACAACAATAACATACAATATAATAACAATAACATATTTGGAAGCAAAAGTGGCATCCACTTCTTAAACAACATGCCTCCAGAAACTCTATGAACTTTGATAAATATTGATATTTGTAGAGGGGCTTCAGGCTTTTTGTTCATAGGGTCGCTGTGAGTCGTGCTCTACTTGAAGGCAATCAACAACAGCATTATAAAAGAAGCATTTCTCAAGAATAACCTTTATTAAAAATTAGTGTCTTCAATATAGAAGAAATAAAAACATAAGCAACCTTTCATAATATTTAAATGTAGCCAACTAAAACCACTGTGATAGTCAGAGCACTACAGATTATGTGGCATATATTACATTAGTCAAAAGTAATACTTCCCAGTGCAACAATGAATGAATGAAAATCCAAAATCTCTGTAAATGTTCATTAAAACTAATAAAATTTAATAATTTTTAAAAAAGTAATACTTCCCCCTCAAAATTTCTCAACAGTTTGTAAGTTCAAACTGAAATACAGAATAAGAGAATGATATTACTGGTACTGTAATTAATGCTATACAACAAAATACATGTAAATGATTGAATGAAAAATCAATATGCTTTGTAAACTTTCATCCTTAACAGAATTAAAAAAAAAAGTTTTTAAAAACAAAGAAAGAAAGAATTTTCTTTTCAATCTTTGGAAGTTTTTAATACAGTGAAACATGTGGAAGCTGGAACTCCAGAGGATTATCCTGATTCTCTAGGTCTGGAAAGTTTTCCACCTTTGACAGGGCAAAGTCTTACCATTTTTCTAATTTCTTTTTAGTGGAATACATTTGGGTTTTCCTTATCTGTTAAGTCTCTGCTTTTGATGGGTTCTGGTTTTTGCATATTTATTGTACTACATATATTGCACGGAATACTTATATTAGGGAATCTTACTTTGTATTTTCCAGGATTCTTCAAAGCACAAATCAGAGCTCCATGACCTCCCATGGAATGGCCAAAAATAGACATTCTTTGGGGATCCACTGGAAAACTGGCATTTATGAGTGTAGGAAGCTAGAAAGAATTTTTAAAGTGAGACAAGAGATATAAGAAAAAAGAATTTAGAACTTTACAAAGTTATAAAAATAACTGTATAACCAGCACTTCAAGCCATATTCTTACAATAGTTTGAACTACTATAGTTTAGGTTTAAAAAAAAATTCCTCAAATAGAAATCAAGTAGATGTTCAACATCTATAGACAGTACTTTAGAAGATGAAGCAGAACCTTTAAGATTTCAACATTTTTGACTGATTAATTTCACTTTGGAAATGGGAAAGCCCAGGTAGGGGACTCTACAATAATATATATTATAGAAAAAATATGAAAAAAATTGTGACATAAGACAGCAACTATTAAGCTCTGATGCTTAGTGTTAAGTAGCTGCATTGGCAACGTAAAAGAACACTGTTCAAGTCCACCACCTGCTCCACAGGAGAAAAATGGGCAATTTCTTTCCACTGACTCAAACAATTCACTGGAGAGCCAACTACAATTGGCTGTGATTTGATGGTACATACTTAATATCTGCTTTATGTTCTGTGAAATGATATCAATTTGGACAGTGCTCAAAATCCTGCTTGTAGTTGTCCTGGTCGCCACTGGAAGAAACACTGGCAGCAGGGCTGCTGACACCGGAGCGTGGTGGGAACAGAGAAGAGGCGAGGAAGGAACAAATACTTGCCCACCTCCATCCTCTGTTCCACTTGATCGAGCAGCAGGTGCAGCTCTGGCTCCAAATCCCCCGTTACCGCTGCCTGCCTGCTGCTGGATAAAGCCGGAGAGCCTGTCCAGGACTATGTCCTCTCTATAACCTGCCTGGGTTCCACTTATTATCAAGTGTTAGAAGAGTCAGGATTTGGGATCTTTAAAACCACTTTGTTGGTATACTCTGAAATGGACTTGTGGTTGGCCTTCCAACGGATTTTCAGAGAAGTAAATTGCATGGGAGGAGTCTGTCCATTTTTCTTTGGTGGAATAGCTGGTGGATTCATACTGCATGCCTTTGGTTGGTGGCATAATTCCTTGCCATTAAACCATTAGAAATAATGGAAAGAAAGGAGAAAAAAAAAGAGAGAGAGAGCCAATTTCTCTTTCAAAACAAAGGTTCTGGTGGCCTAGTGGCAAGATGCTGTTTTGCAATCCCAAAGGTACATGGTTTGAGCCTACCAGCTGCTCTATGAGAGAAGGATGGGCAATCTCCTTCTGTATGATTAACTGCCTCTGAAAACCTGCTGGACGGTCAGCTATGGGTCAGTTCCAACTTGCTGGTACATAACAACAAAAACATAATAAAGACACTTTCTAAAAAAATGCTTTAAAAAATATAAAAAGAAAACAAAATCTTTAGGATGCCCTAGACACATATATGCAGTTATATAGGCAAACAGATGTTAAAAGATGCTTATTTGTATTTATAATAACTCAAAACTCACAGCTCCCAAATCAGAACCAACTAACAGGTGACCCTCCACTGGGTTTCCCAGGCTACAAATCACACAGGAGGGGAATGTCCATCTTTCTTACCGGCAGCTGCTGGTGGATTTGAATTGCCAGAGACATGGCCACTGGGTCAGCAGTGTAATTCCTTAGAGACTAGGCCACCAGAGCTCCTCTGTATTTAAAACAGGTTGGAATAGTGTGGAGAAATTTTTTTTTCCTCCCGTGTTGTGTACCGTCAAATCAGATTCAACTGGCACAGGAGGAGATTGCCTCCCCTTCTCCAGCAGAGCATCTGGTGGATTCGAACCTTGTACCATAGGGATTTCAGTGCAGCTTCTTGTCACTAGGCCACCTGAGCTCCCTTGAAATACTAATTTTTAAATTTTCTTTGTATTCCTTTTTTGTATTATACTAGTTTATTTAAAAAATTCAAATACACTGTTTTTCAGACAAGATTCTTCCAATTTCCCTCATCCTCACAACCCTATGATTAATCCACATGCCCCTCACATCCTCATCCCTCTGCTTCCACTCTCCACCCTCGGATCCTCATACTCATTCTACAGTAAGAGTTTTAGGAAATATTATTTTATATAACATTGCTCTGTCCCTGGAGTGAGGCTAGCCAGCCTGGGCCTAGGGTTTGAAGCAGGAGGCGGCCTTAAGCCGAGGGAAGCCAGGAAGGAAGCGGCCATGTTGTTGCCGGTTTAGCTGGTGCCTTCACAGGCTCCTGGGAAGCTCTCCTTGCCAGAAGGCAGGAGCGTGGTTGTGGGGATTGCAGGAATCGTGGCAAGCTTTTGAGTGGACTGCTTTTCCGGGAATGTGTTTGACGTGCAGGTTTGCTCTGTCCCTGGAGTGAGGCTAGCCAGCCTGGGCCTAGGGATTGAACCAGGAGGCGGCCTTAAGCCAAAAGGGTCCCTGTCAAACATTCTTCTAGGTGGTATAGCACTGGTCTGTGCGTTGCTGTATAGAGGTAACTCGTGGTTGCTGTGATGCTGAAGCCTGTGACAGTGATGTGCCAATCGTGGTAATGGGCACCCATGGCGGACAGTGTTGGCTGGAGCTTCCCGACTAAATCAAGCCTGGAAGCAGGAGAGGCATCCACTTCCAAAATGGCTTGCCTCTGGAAACTCTATGTAAGAACAGTGCTCAGGCTGTTCGTTCATAGCGTCGCTATGAGTTGTCTACGACTCAACGGCATTAAACAACAACAACATAACTAGAATAACAATAGGATTAAAAAAAGAAAGAAAAAGTCTTAAAAATATGTTAAAACTCAAACTCTCATAACCATTGGGATGGAACCTACTCATAATTGACCCCCTATTGGGTTTCTGAAGTTCTAAATCACATGGGAAAAGAGTGTCTATATTTCTCTCCTTGAGTTGTTGGTAGGTTTGAACTTCTCAGGGAGAAGCATGGCCTTTGGATGAGTAGCACAACTCCCTACAGACTATGCCTTCAGAGTTTGCTATGTGAAAAACAGTCCCAGAAAGAATCTGGACTGTATCAAGTTCTAATAATTGGCTGAGGTGAAGAAAAGATGAATAATTAAAATTTTCTATTAATTTTGAATTGTTATGAAGCAATTAAAAGATATAACCTAAAAATTAATAAATTGCACATAAATACTAACAAGAAGAGTGCTAGATCATTTCTCCACACTAAGTCTTAGGAGTTCTGGTGACGTCATCCATAGGGAGTCGCACTGCTCACCCAAAGGTGGCACATTTCTAGCAAGTCAAAGCCACCAGCAGCTCCGAAGGGAAAAGATGAACAATCTTTGCCCATGCAGTTTACAGCTTCACAAAGCCAATGAAGGTTTAGCAATGAGTCAGTTTCGACTCAACAGTAAGGAGTTTGAGTTTGTTTCTTTTTTAAAAGCCAAGTCTTAATTTGCCACTACAAAATACATCCCAATGTATTTCCCTGCTGGGGAAATAAAACTTTTCCTTATATACTGTTACTTTGAGTTACTCATTCAGGTACCTATAAGTCTTATTATTTAGTTCTTTAAAACTGTATTTCAGTGTTTCCTATTGCCAAAGGGGCCCTTTAGGGTAGCGAGAGAAGATCTTCACCCTGAAACCTACAGCGAGAGTCCCTTTTCAGCAGGAAGTAGCTAAGAGAATACGCCATCCCCTTTTCCTTATGAATCAGGGTGAAGTCTCTCTCAGGGAGGAGTGATAGGGAATGTCAAAGGACACGGTGACAAAGGAGATTAATCAGAACTGGCTTTGACAAGCACTGTGGCAATGGGACAATTAAAACAGACTTTCAGGGGGAAAAAAAAGAGGAATGAACTGGGGGGGGTAGAGAAAATAGAGCAACAATGAGTGAATGGAAATCCAAAATCTCTGTAAATGTTCATTAAAATGAATTTGATAAAAGAAATAAAAATAAAACAAAACCCCTGTATTTCATATTATATCATAATTATAACGAGCTTTACTAAGACAATTAATAAGCAGCAATTGAGTTAAAATTTTTCAAGACTAGAAGAATTTTGTCTAAAATGAATCTTTTTGAAGCTATCAGTTAATAGTTTACAACATAAGTTACCTCTTGTGTTATGTAAGAGTACATTCTGTAGTGCGTTTTCCAAGGATTTTCAGTGGCATCCACATAAAAGCCCGCACCAGTGCCAAAGTCCCAGCTGTCATCTTCTCCTTGAATACTGCAGCCACCTACCAAGGAAAACCTCTGTGGTTTCATTATCCATTTGGTAGTAACGGCTCATGTTTGATAATACATGTTTAAATAAGTCTGCAAATCCATTTTGCACTAAAGCCTTTTGGGGCAAATCTTTCTGGTCTTCTCTCTCCAAACCAGGGTGCCATGTGACTGGTTCTTGCCAATAAAGTGGAAAAGAATGACCATCCAGACTAGAGCAAATAACTGAGCTCTCATTCCTATGTATTCTAAGTATCAATGCTTCCTCACTTGGCATTGCTGTCAAAGGGCTTCTCTCATCTTCCTGAAATGTGCTGCCATCTCTTCTCTGATAACTAGCCTACCCCCTGCCAATCACTGCTTTAGTAATTATCCTTATCAGTGTGATCACAGAAGAAGAGGCATATGCTTGTTTTCAATTTACTATCTCACAATGGAAGTGGCTCCTTTGCTGTAGTATCACTGTACCATATTTTACCTCTTTAACCAGGTTCTGTGGGGATTTTTTGTATTTTAAAATATATTTGATTTTATTTAATACTTTTTCATTTAGTTAGATAGCCAATCACTGTGATTTTGAATAGAACTATGTTAATACGTAGAGTAACGGGAGAGAAACTATTTCTTTGTAATTATCCAATCTATTCATCTAGAAGTATAGCATCTGCTCCTTTTAAGTCTTCATTTTTAACTTTTAGCAAAATTTAGCATTTTTATTTTTATAGGTCTTCATACTTTAGAAATTTACTCCCAAGATTAGTATGTTCTGGATGCTATTTTGAATTTACAATTTACTGTATTTCTCGCCAGATATGAGCTTACCTTACTTTTCTATAATACAGCTATTCATTATTTCCAAATCTGTTCCCATTAAGTTCCCTTTCTGAATAGTTAGGAACTTTTACAGACATAAAACAAGTTTTCCACACCTGATGGACTGGATTGGGTTTCTAAATATTTTCTATTATCATTCTCAAATGCAAACATTTTAATAATTTATATTAATGCTAAAGAACCCTGGTAGCACAGTGGTTAAAGAGTTACCAGTTTGGATTTTGATACATTAAAGGTAATACTTGAGAGAGCTCTGGTGGTGTAGTGGCAAAAAGCTGCACTGCATTCCCAGAGGTATGTGGTTCGAATTCACCAGATGCCTGATGAAGGAGGGACAATCTCCTCCTGTAACAGTTAGATGCGATTTGATGGTAAACACACACACAAAATTTTTTTAAAAAAGTAATACTTGTTTAAATGTATGACTATTACATGGTCAAGAGAGAGAGAGATCAGAAAAGACACAAGACAGCTTACCTATATAATAGAGAAAGTAATTTCTTGTGCATTGTTATTGACAGCAAATCAGACAAACACCAGACTCATAGTGGCCAATAGAATAGAGCATGATTCCCACAAAGGGTTTTTGTATGTGTGAGAAAAATTTTAATCTATGCATCATTTAAGCTTGTACAGTAAAACTATAAATATAGCAAAATGTTAAAAAAGCAGAATTTTTTGCACACAAGGTGCAGTCTATTTTTTTAAAAAAAAGTTTTTTAAATATACTGGTTTATTTAGAAAGTTCAAATACATTGTTTTTCACACCAGAATTTTCCCATTTCCTTCATCCCCTGCCCAATCAAATTGCACGGCCCTATGATCAACCTTCCCTGTGCCTACCCTTCCCCCCACACCACACAGGTTTAAGAAAGCCTACTGGCACATCTTTCTCCTGGGAGTAATCGATGGCAAAGTGCCAATCTTATAGTTAGCAGGTGAGCACTTTAACTATTATACCAGTATTAGGCCGGTGTGTTCTAACATTGATGTTGTCAAGTCCTGTTGAGTCCTCTGTGACTCACAACAACCCTAAGAACAAGAGATCTGCACCTTGTCCTATCCTGTGTGATCCGCACACTACTAGTTTTACTATCACCCTCACATTCTTGACAGTGGTAGCAATAAATTAAATGAGTTAATAATTTTTGGGTGTCAGTACCTTAATTTCTAAAATAAGAAGAGCAAAATTACTCCCTCTCATAGAGCAATACTAGAAATAAAATTCAGTGAGTAAAGGTACAGCATGATGTTTTAGTGCCATGCCACTTAAAGGACTAGAAATAGCAAAATTATGAAATGTGTAATATAAAAGTCACGGGAAGAGGATGGGCAGTTTCCTCCCGTGCAATTAACTGCCTCTGAAAAGTTGTCAGAGGGTCACCTATGAATTAGTTCCAACATAACAACAATACAACAACAACACCACAATATATGTATCTCCCACTTAAAACTTAGTTTTAAAGATCTATTGTTGCTCTCGTTAGGTGCTGTTGGGTCGAGTGACCTTACTGTTAACAATCCTGCACCATCTTCACTATCTGTGCCAATCCATCACGGTGAGGATCTTCTTCTCTTGGACTTTCCACCTTTCCCAGCATAATGTCCTTTTCCAAGAATTGGCCTCTCCTGACAACATGCTGAATGTGTTCACATTTCATTTTAATACATTGCTTTGTCTTGTCATGCTGCCCTTTGATATCTTTTTTTATCTCTCTTTAGCATTTCTTCCTTTTGTTTTGGTCTAGTGCAATTATCAGAGTCTCTTCTGAAATCCATTTTAGTCTTTTCTTTCTCTTCTATTTGTAATTATCTTTTGCTTTCTTCATGGATGAGATCCTTGAGTTATCCCTTAACTCATCTGGTCTTCGATCATTTGTGTTCAATGCCTCAAATCTATTGTTGAGATGGCTTTTTTTTTATTATTTTTGTGTGAGTGTACCATCAAATCAGATCTGACTGGTACAGGAGGAGATTGTCCCTCCTTCCCCGGCAGAGCATCTGGTGGATTTGAACCGTGCACCTCTGGGATTGTAGTTATAGTTCCTTGCCACTAGGCCACCAGAGCTCCCCTGAGATGGCTTTTAAATTAAGGCGGGACATACTCAGGGTTGTATTTTTATTGTAATGAACTTTTGATTTTCTTCAGCTTCAATCTGAACCTGTACACGAGTAATTGATTGAAGAATGTGGTATCAGGATCAGAGGAAGACTCATCAATAACCTGCATTATGCAGATGACACAACCTTGCTTGCTGAAACTGAGGACTTAAAGCACTTGTTGCAGAAGATCAAAGAATACAGCCTTCAATACGGATTACATCTCAATGTTAAGAAAACAAAAATCTTCACCTCACATTAGGCCAATAGATAACAACATGATAGATGAATAAAAGATTGAAGCTTCCAACAACTTCATCTTACTTGGATACATAATTAATACCCTTGGTACTAGCAGTCAGGATATCAGACGTATTGCACTAAGAAAGTCTGCAGTGAGGGACTTCTCCAAATTACTGAGGAGTAATGATGTCAGGCTATGGTCTTTCTGATCACTTCCTATACACTAGAGAACTGGACAATGAATAAGGATGACAGAAGAAAAATTGGTGCTTTTGAGCTGTGGTTTTGGAGAAGAGTACTGAACATGCATCCCATGGACTGCCAAAAGAACAAACATATATGTCTTGGAGAAAGTGCAGCCAGAGTTTGCCTTGGAGGCAAAGATGATAAAGTTTTGCTTCCAATATTTTGGGTATGTTGCTAGAAGGGTTATTCCTTGAAGAGGGACATGATGCTCAGAAAGACAGGAGGTCGGCGAAGGAGAGGAAGATCCTCAACCAGGTGGACTGATATGCTGACTACTGTAATGGACTCTAGTGTGTCACGAAGTGTGAGGATGGCACAGGATAGGACAGGGTATAGATCTGTTGTTCATAGGGTTGCTATGGGTCATGCTCAACTCTATGGTACCTAACAACAACAACTAATGATCTGTTCCACAGGCTGCCCTTGGCTTTGCTTTGACTATTGATATTGAGTTTCTGCAGTGATTTTTCCAGAGGTAGTCAATTTGAGTCTATGTGTACAGTTGCCATTTATGTTTTATAAAATGGTATTAGAAATGAATAATCAGTGATTGAACAAAATTCTATTATGTGATCTCCAGTTCCATTTCTGTCACTGAGGCTTTGTTTTCCAATTATCAGTCCTTCTTTGTTTCCAACTTTTGCATCCCAGTTACCAATTATAAACACAGCTGCTTGTTTGATCTGTTTCAGACTGCAAAGGTGGAAGAAATCATCAATTTGTCTTTGGTTTTTGTGGTTGGTACATACATTTGAGTAATTGTATTAATAGGTCTTCTGTGTGTGTATTCTATCACTCATAGCACTGTATTTCTAGACAGAATTTAAAATGTCCTTCTGACTATGAATGCAACACTTTTCTGCTTTAATTTGTTGTTCCTGGCATAACAGATCATATGATCATCTGATTCAAAGTGGTCAATACCAGTTCATCTCAACCGAGTAATGCCTAGGATACCAATCTCTAAGAGTTCCACTTTTTTGACAACTTAAAATATTATTAGATTCATGCTCCTATCTTCCGTGTTGTAATTTCTAGTTGGTGTTTGGAGCTGTTTCCTGACAGTTTTTGAGTGTCTTCCACTCTGAGTTGCTCTATTTCCGCTATTATATGTAGTAATGATCCTCTGTTATTCAGTGTTTGAAGGCCTAATATTTTGGATTTGCATGGCCAGTCTGCTTCTTAGTCTGGAAGCGCCACTGTAACCTGTCACCATGGATAGATAGATCCTGCTGGTATTTGAAATACCAGTAGCACAGCTTCTAGCATCACAGTAACACACCAGAATACTGAAGACGAGTGCTGTACCCATGAGAACAAACTACAAACATGCACACACAAACTATACAAGTAGTAGCAACATGTAAAGTATCCACACCCCAGTACAGCAAACTGACAGCTAAGCTCTGTACCCTTAAAACAAACAAGCATATAAATACACTAGGCAAACATGCATACCATGGGAAGTAGTAAACAAACTGTCTGACCTGGGATAGTTTATCTGCCAGCCCAGCAGAAGGCTGGCGTTGGGGTGCCCAGGCATGTCAGAGATTCTGCTTGTTTGAGTGGTGACTGAAGCCCCAGAGGTCCAGGGTAGCACCTCTTCTGATCTAGGGTGTGCTGAGGGTATGTCAAGAGGTGGGGCTCTCAGCCTGGGGCACAGTTTTGCTGGCCTCAGAGTAGCTGAATTTAAAGATTTAGGCTGTTAACCAAGAACACTTACGAGGGCTGGTATCTGGAGCAATGACAATAAGGCCATGTTCTGAGGCTGCCTGATGATAACCAGATTTTGATATAAAATTCTGTTCTGTGCAAGTCAAGCCTGAAAAGAAAGAGAAAAAAAAAATACAGTCATCACCAAATGGAAACGATGAGATATCATCTTACATTAGCCAAGTTCAATAAAATGGTAAACAACAAATGTTGGCAAAGATGTGGAGAAACTGGAACTCTAATATACTACTAGTGAGATTAGTCAATAGTATAACCACTATGGAAAGGTTTGGTGCTTCCTTAGAAAGCTGAGAATATAAATAAAAGTTGGGAATCCAATCATCTGATCCAATAATTCCACTGCTTGGTTATTTATCCCATAGAAGTAAGAGGGTCCACACAAACTGCAATACGCACACTCATGTTCACTGCAGCATTATTGACAACAGCAAATAATGTAAATTTTTACTTACTAAAGGAAGAAAATCTGCTGCTGTGAAATGAACTGAGACACACAATACCACTACACGGTATATCAGAAGAGCCCTACAGAGTTCTAAGGGTGCAATCTTTACAGAAGCAGACTGCCACATTTTTCTCCTGAGAAGCTACTGGAAAGTTGAAATGCTTTTTTTGTTAGCACTCACTCCTGTGCCATCCTCCCTCAGACTTTGGCAAGTGCCAATCTTTTTTATTTCTAAGGATTTGCCTATCTTGCTCATTTAATACAAATGGAATGTACACACATGGTCAAATTCTGGCTTCTCAAACTCAGCTTGTTTTCAAGGGTCATCCATTCTGTAGCATGTATGAATATTTCAATCCTGCTTGCTCTCCAGTGTGAGGAGAGACCATATTTTATCTACCCACTCATCAGTTGAGGGCCATTTGGATGGGTCTCATATTTTTGGCTATTATGAACCATTGTCATATTTGCTATCTTTTTTTTTTTTTAATTAATTTTAATGGAAGTTTACAGAGACTTAGGGTTTCCATTCACTTTTCTTCCTGGCCACCCCCTCCCCCCAATTCACTCCTCTCCTTGAAAAGAAGGAAAAACTCTTTCATTGTTATATAATCCCTCTCCCTAAGTCCACTCCACTGTGCAGCCTTCGTTATGGATTCCTGTCATGACAATAATACCCAATCACATATCCCTTTTAAACAGTTCCCTAGCTCATCTGTTTCAATGCAGTATACACCATTCATCCCCTCCTTCTCTGTCTTCCATCAACCCTGATGTCAGTTTCATTTTACAACAGTGGCCTTATGCACTATTTGTCCTTTTGTGACTGAGATACTTCACTAAGCATAATGTTCTCCAGGGTCATCCATTTTGTATAATAGTTCATGAGTTCATTGTTTTTCAATGCTGTATAGTATTCCATTATGTGAATATACCAGAGCTTCTCTATCCATTCGTTTGTTGATGGTGGGTTGTTTCCAGCTCTTTGCTATTACAAACAAAGCTGTAAAATCCATGGGTGTGTATATATCTGCTTGGGTGATAGTTATGGTTTCTTGAGGCTAAATTCCCAGTAGTAGAACTGCTGGGTTGTATGGCATTTCTATTTGCAACCTTTTGAGAAAGTGCCATACAGCCTTCCATAGTGGTTGCACCATTTTACACTCCCTCCAACAGTGAATAAAGGTTCCAGTTTCTCCGCAACCTTGCCAGCCAGCATTTGATGTTTGCTGCTCTGTTAAATTTGGCTATTCTTACTGTGGTGAGATGATATCTCATAGTTGTTTTGATTTGCATCTTAGAGCTAGGGATTTTGAACATTTCTTCATGTGGTTGTTGACCATCTGAATGTCTTCTTTGGTGAATTGTCTTTTCATATTCTGTGCCCATTTTTCAACTGGGTTATTGATCTTTTTTTGTGGTGCTAGAGTATTTTATAAATTCTAGATATAAGTCCTTTGTCTGACATGTCATTACCAAATATTTTTTTACAATCTGTGGCTTCCTTTTTCACTCTGTAGGAGAAGTTCTTGGATGCGCATAGGGATTTGATTCTTAGAAGGTCCCATTCATCTATTTTATCTTCTCCTGGTGGTAGAACATTTGATATCTTTTTATAAAGGATATATACATCAAATGAAGTGCTAAACACATACCTAATGTACAGGGCTGATCTGATGGTCACCATGACTTGTGAGTTCTGGTGCCACAGACTACAGTGTTGTGTCTGTGCTGGTTGGAATCTATCAGCAGCTCTGAGGGAGAAAGATGGAGAATCTTTTCTCATTAAGATGCAAAGCCTTGGAAACCCAACAGGTCACCAAGAGTCAGAACCAAGTGGACAGCAGTGAGGTTTCTGTGTTTGTGTAGGTAGATGCAAACCATCACCATGAGAAAATTTTTGAGATTTCAGTCTGGGTGTTATTTTAATTCCAGGCAATTTAGCAATAGAACATTTTCCTAACCTTTCTGTCACTATTTTTAACTAACTGAGAAATAACCCTGAAATTCTTTCATCATTATTTTCAAGTACACTAACCTGGCAATTTTACCTTTTTTGTTCCCACTCCCCTTCAGAAAATCAAGTCTTAATTTCCAAGGTCTATCTATGAGTCATCATCTCACTAAGAAAATGGTCCTGTTTAATGCAAACAAACAAGAAGTTCTATTTTTTCCATGCTCATATAGCTCAGATTATTATCTTTTGATAAACTGAAATTTTAGTTAGGAATTTAGAACCCTATTTTTATCATAATTTTGGTGAAGTAAATAACTTAGTGTATTTTATCAAATCAAAATGAAAAACAGAACATTCAAAAAGGTTGAACACAGCTCTGCATAATGAATTAGAAAATTTACTCATGCTCACTATTATAGGACCCTGAACAATATTTAATCTCTTTTGGGCTCGGTTTTCTATTTTATAGGCTACATGATTCCTAAGACAATTATCAGTTATACTTCTAAAAACAGAGATAGACAATATTTTCCAAAACAAACATCTAATTGTGTTTAAAAGCTAACTGTTGCCTTTACATATACCAAATGAATGCTCTTGAAAGAAAAAGAGTGCAGTGCATCTAAATTCTAAAATCAATCTCCACAATAGTCTGCATGTTTCCTATTGCCAAGGGGGCCCTTTAGAGTAGTGAGAGAAGATCTTCATCCTGAAACCTACAGTGTCCCTTTTCAGCAGGAAGTAGCTAAGAGAATATGCCGTCCCCTTTTCCTTATGAATCAGAGTGAAGTCTCTCTCAGGGAGGAGTGATAGGGAATGGCAAAGGACACACAGACAAAGGAGATTAATCAGAACTGGTTTTGACAAGCACTGTGGCATTGGGACAATTAAAACAGACTTTCAAGGGAAAAAAAAGAGGAACGAACTGGGGGGAGGGTAGAGAAAATAGTGCAACAATGAATGAATGGAAATCCAAAATCTCTGTGAATGTTCATTAAAATGGATAAAATTTAATAAAAAAAGAAATGAAGAAGGGACACAAATGGAAAAAAAAAGAAAGAAAATGAATGATCATCATATAAACAGAGAAATGATTTGCTGAGTTAAAATCAGATGAATATTTAATGGAGGCAAGAGCGATGAGGCTTCACCTCCCATACTTTGGGCATGTTGCTAGGAAGGGTGGAGGGTTGTAGAGGAGAGGAATATCCTCAAACCAGGTAGACTGACACGGTGACTACCTCTATAGGCTTTTATTTATCAAAAAATATGAGGATGGTGCAGGGTGGAAGAGGGTTTAGATCTTTGGTTCATGGGGTTGTTATGAGTCATACTTGACTCAATGGCATTTAACAACAATACAACTTAATTTGCATCTTTTTAAATTCTCATTTTCCAAGACTGGTAATAAAGATTTATTCTTGATAACTACACATAAGGGAGAATTTACTAATCAAAGCTACAAGAACAACTTTTAAGAAAACAAAATTGAAGGGAGCTCTGGTGGCCTAGTGGCAAGACGCTGCACTGCAATCCCAGAGGTACGTGGTTCAAATCCACCAGATGCTCTGCTGGAGCAGGAGTGGGCAATCTCCTCCTGTACCAGTCAGATCTGATTTGACGGTACACATAAAAATAATACAATAAAATATTTAAGAAAAACAAAACAAAACCAAAAAACCCCCAAAATTGAAATAGCACATCATGATATATTTTGGTTTCTATGATTCTCTCTTTATAATACTTGTTTCTAAGAAGTACCACATCCTGGGAAAGAAAAGTTAATTAGGTTTAAAACTACTGGTCACACAACCTTATTCTTTCACAATCCATTTGAGTTTTTATTTATTAAACACTTATTACTAGTGGTTGCTCCATCTAACATACTTTGGACACGTTGTGAGAAGAGACCAGTCCTTGGAGAAGGACACCATGCTTGGGAGGATGGAGGGACTGTGCAGGAGGGGAAGGCCCTCTATGAGGTGGACTGATTCAGTGACTGGGGTAATCGGGATGGGTGTGTCAGAGACAGTGCGATTGGCACAGGACAGAGCAGAGTTTAGGGCTGTTGTACATAGGGTTGCTATGAGTTGCAAGCGACTCGACGGTAAATAACAACAACTACTAGTAGTTGATTTTTACTCCAGATTTCTGCCAGAGAAGCTCTATGGAGTCCAATGAAATATTCCAGAGAACACTCTGAAGAAGTTACTTGTTGGTGGTTTCTAATTTGTGTATCATGGTGTCCTGTTTTACCCAATATTATTCTTCTTGACCAGTACAATTTCTGCAGTTCAGAAACGCCTGGCTAGGTACAAGTTAAATAAACTTCAATGCCTTTGCTATGGAAAACATAACTGTACATTTTCTACTAAAATTACGTGGTTTAAGTGAAATGGAAATGTTGCTAAGTAGCACTGAGTAGATTATGATTTCTAGCAATCCCATGAACTACAGATCAGAATCTTGTACCATCTTGTACCATCCTCACAATCTCTGACATGCTTGAGTCCACTGTTAGAGTCACTGTGTCAATTCATCTTGTTGAGGGTCTTCCTCTTTTTTTATGACTTTCCATTTTTCCTTGCATGGTAACTTCTTCCAAGGACTGTCCCCTCCTAACAACAGGCCCAGAGTAAGTGAGATGAAGTTTAAGCATCTTTGCCACTTGGGAGCACCCTGGACTCACATCTTCCAAGATAAATGTGTTCTTCTGGCAGTCCATAATATATTCAATCCTCTTTGCCAATATTATAATTCAAAACCATTCATTTTACTTAGGTCTTCCTTATTAACAGAAGTGAGACAAATGTAATTCAGTAGGTTTAAAATTATTGTCAGGTAGGCTGGTAGATTTTACTCTAACTGGCTTCTAAAATTGGCTATAAATGGTACAGAAAGCACACCAAAATGTCTGGATAAAGAGTAAGCTAGCCAGCGAAAATGACAAAGGAAACACCTGTATAAAACTCAAATGCATAATACTTACCAGACAGCCAATACAGTGCAGGGCATTTTCCAGTTTCTGCCTTTGGTGGTAAATAGACAGCAAATTTCATTTTGCAGTTCAGTTCAACACTGTAATTTTAAGAACAACAACAAAAATCAATATACCTTAGTTAAGATATAGACATAAAATAATTAAACGGAAAATGGCACCGAGCTGGAGTGGACTCATAGTTGACTCTCTGCTGGTTTTTGAAACTTAAGTTAAATGGGTTAAGTCAAATGGGAGGACAATGCCCATGGAGTGACTGGTGAATATGCACCACTGCAGAATGGTGGCCTTTGAGTTAAAAAAAAAAAAAAAAAGAAAAGAAAGCACACATTGCAAAAATATACACAGTAAAGGTCCTAACAACAACAACATTTCTCTTTTATTTTTTTAATACCCTCAAAATATTTCTATTTTATATTTGTATTTTGGCATTCTCAGACCAGTCCTCTCATTTTCCAAAACTTTCTCTGTGATTCCACCACCCATCTGTCAGTTTGCTGTACCCTGGCAGTGGCTTGTGCACTGCTGAGATGCTGGAAGAGATGCCACTGTTATTTCAAATACCTGCAGGGTCATCCAGAGTGGACAGGTTTTAGTGGAGCTTTTAGCCTGACAAAGACTAAGAAGGAGGCCTGGTCATCACTTTTGAAACAGCAAGCTTTTCAAAACTCTAGAACATCACTGGATATCATGAACTCAGGTTGAAAGGCACTCACACTGTGACCGCGAAGAGCTGCTTTCTTGGAGTACTGTAATGATGTGCAGAGAGTAAAGCTTTCACTTAATGAAGGTGTTTCATTTGCTGATGTGGTAAAATGAGAAACAGCTGCAAACATCCAGTTATCACTGGAACATGGAATGTATGAAATATGAATCAAGAAAAACTGCAAAAGTCATAAATGAAATAGAATGCATAAGGATAGACAAGGTATTAGTGAGCTGAGATAGTGTGGAATTGGTCATTTTAAATCAGATAATCACATGATCTACTATGTTGGAAATGACAAAGAGGAATGGTATGGCATTCATCATCATAGAGAATAATTCAAGATCCTGAAGTACAATGCTGTGAGCAATAGGATACTATCTATATTCACAGAAGAAAATTCTGTTAATATAACCATTACTCAAATATAAACATCAGCCATAAAAGTCAAATGAAGAAATCAAGGATTTCCACTACCCTATGCACCCTGAAAGACTGAAAATGTAATCAAGAAGAAAAACTAATAATAATTGGTGACCGGAATGCAAAAGTTGGAAACAAACAGAAGGACTAATAGTTGGAAAATATGGATGTGGTGACAGACATGAGGCTGGGGATTACAAGATTGAATTTGTACAATGGATGACCTATTCACTGCAAATACTTAAAAAAAAACCCACAAAACACAAACAAATGGTGATATATCTGATAGACTACACAAAAATTAGACTGCCTATATCTGTAGAGACATCTGAGAAGCTCACTATCAGCAGTCAACAGCAGGCCAAATGTGGAAGAGATCAACTACTAATATGCAAGTTCAAACTGAAGAAGAAAATGAAAGCAAGTCCATGAGAATCGAAGCACAATCGTGCGTGTATCCCAAATGAATTTAAAAACTATCTTAAGAATAGATCTGGGGAGCTCTGGTGGCCTAGTGGCAAGAAGCTGTACTGCAATCCCAGAGGTACATGGTTCGAATCCACCAGATGCTCTGCCGGAGAAGGAGGGAAAATTTTCCTCCTGTACCAGTCAGATCTGATTTGACGATACACGCACAATAAATAAATTAAAAATAAATAAATAATTTTTTAAAAAAGAATAGATCTGACGCAGTAAACACTGGTGACCAAACACCAGATGAGTAGTAGAATTGACATCAAGGACATCATCCATGAAGAAAGCAAAAGGTCATTATAAAAATAAAGAAGAAAGTAAAGATCAAAATGGATGCACAAAACGAAGCCAGATCAAGGAGAAAGAATGCTGATGCAAGATTACATAGGGCACCTTGGGAAGATAAAGCAAGGTTTTATAAAGAAATGTGCAAGGAGTTGAAATTAGAAAGCCAAAGAACATGCCTAGCATTTCTGAACTTGAAAGAATTGAGAAACAAATTCAAGCTTTGAGGTGAAATGCTCAAGGACTCCATGGGCAAAATCCTGAATGATGCAGGAAGCATTAAAAGAAGATGGAAGGAATAGACAGAGACACTATACCAAAAACATTTGGTCAACACTGCACCATTTCATATAGTAGCATATAATAAAGAAACAACAGCTAAAAACTGAAGGAAAAAGTCCAAGCTGCATTGAAGGTACTGACAATAAATAAGGATCCAGGAATTGCAGAATACCAACTGGGGCGCTTAAAGATCCAGATGCAACCCTGGACGTGCTCACTAGTATCTGACATTAATATGGAAGACAGCTACCTGGCCAACTAACTCGAAGACACCTATATTTGTGTCGTTCCCATTCACCCAAAAAGGTGATCTAACAGAAAGAAGAAATTATTAAACAACATCATTAATATCACATGCAAGTAAAATCTTGCTAAAGATTATTTAAAAATAGATGGAACAGTACATCAGCGTGGAATTACAGAAAGGCAATCTGGATTCTGAAGCGGCCAGGTCACAGGGTTATCACTGTTGAAGTCAGGTGGTTCATGGCTGAAAGCAGAGAATACTAGAAAGAGGTTTACTTGTATTTTAGTAATTATGCAAAGGTATTTGACTCTGGATCATAGGAAACTATGGCTACCACTGAGAAGAACTGGAATCCCAGAACACTTAATTGTTAGGGAGCTCTGGTGCCCTAGTGGCAAGAAGTTGTGCTGCAATCCCAGAACAGTTAATTGTGCTCAAGAGAAATCTAATATACATAGACCAAGAAGCTGTTTTCTGAGCAGAACAAGAGAACACTGCACGATTTAAAACCAGAAAAAGTATGCACCAAGGCTGCATTCCTTCTTCATACCTATTAAATTTGTATGCTGAGAAAATCACGAGAAGCTGAGATAAATGAAGAACAATATGGGAACAGGACTGGAGTAAGACTCATCAGCAATCTTCATCATGCAAATGACACAACCTTGCTAGCAGAAAGTGAAGAAGACCTGAAGTACTTACTGCAGAAGATAAATACTATCACCTCCAATATATTTATATTGTATCTCAATACAAAGAAAACAAAAATCCTCACCACTGGACCAACATGCAACTTCATGATAGATGGAGAGAAGACTGAAGTTATCAACAAGTTCATTTTACTTGAATCCAAAATCAACATCCATGGTAGCAGTAGTCAAAAGATACATTGCAATGGGGAAATATGCTGTCAAGGATTTCTCCAAAGTTCTAAAGAGGAACTATGTCAGTTTAAAGACTAGGTAAACCTGATCCACACTGAGCTGCTTTCAACTGCTTCCAACACATAAGATGGACAAGAATAAGGATGACAGGGCGCGCCCCCTGCCGCCCCGCCCCCGCCTGCTCCCCAGTGGCCAGAGAGGCTGCTGTGTCTGCCGGAAGTGAGTGTCTCCGTAGTGAC